TCTGAAAACACACAAAACGAGGCTTTTAAAGACAGAGGAAGCCTCAGTCACCAGACTGCGCCACATGGTCTCAGAAAGAAGTTTATGCCAGGAGCCTAGCAGACGTGTTCCTTCATGAACTTGCTGCAACTTCCAGGAAGCTCCAGCCCAGGTCTGGAGGGCTCCAGGGAGATTCTGCAGTTCCCCTGGGAGAGTGAGGGACCCGCTGGCATGAAAGACTAACGCACGTGCCCGGGTCCTGCCAGCAGCCGCGTGGCACCAGCACGGGGCAGAGGGAGCGCTGAGACGCTCATGGGTGAGGAGGCCCTGGCGACACCTCTACCCATCCGGAAAGCTCTGATTCGCGAGTGAGGACAGGACGAGCACATGCTGCTGCGTGTGGGCAGAGAGACAGCCCAGGACCAAGGGAAATGACACCCCTGATCTGTGAAGAGCACTCCTACACCCACCAGAAACAACCAGCCCGGCAACAAGGACAGCGAAGAAAAGGATCATCAGTAGGAAAGTGCAGACAACCGAGGGGACATGGACACACCTGACACGGGAGCAATGGGGACAAGTCCAGCTAAGGCCTTTACCCCGCAGGCACAGGCATCCGCTCCTACAGGCTGTGGGTGCAAGGGAGGGTGCCTGGGCAGTGCCCAGCACCAACGGCCCCCGCCGGGACTACTCACTAAGGGCCGCCTGTCGTGATTACTGCTGCTTTGCTAGTTTGTCCACAAAGTAAGCAAAGTGTGTGTGTGTGTGTGTGTGAGAGAGAGAGAGAGAGAGAGAGAGGAAGAAGGGCAGACGCATGGACACTAAGGGCTAGTACAGGTTTTAGAGATAAAGGTGGGTAACAAAAGCCATGGAAAGGTACTTATCTTGGGTCAGCAATGCTCTTCCTACTTTGTCTAGAACCAGGAAGACAAAAACGCGAAAAACTGAAAACAATCTTAATGTCCCACTACTGAGCTGTTGGTGCTGGTTTAAGCGTGGCTCCGGGTGAGACGACAATGAACCAGCAGAATCAGCTCTGCAGGGCACGCCGCATCTAGGGAATGCCCACAGCAGGGGGTTAAACGCAGCGGGCGGGCCCTGCTCCGCCGGCCAGGCAGAGCGCAGGCCTCACAGAAGCCCGGCCCTCACTACGGCCCAGGCCCAGCTCCGAGGTCCAGCCATCACGCTCAGGCCTTCGCCATCAGAGATTCACGACGGCGAGAAACTCCTTGCGCGAGTGGCTGGCCTGGGCCCTGGGCCCTCCTCCCACTCACGCTCAGGCCACCTATCAGTGGGCTGTCCCTTGAAGCGTGCAGTGAATTCACCATCTGGGGCGCTGTGGGGAGGTCCGTGGGAACAGTCCTGAAAGCTAGTGGCTAAAGAGAAGGGCCGACATCTGGGTGAGCGTAGCTGACGGAACACAGGCCCGCCCTGCGCAGCTGCCCGAGCGCACTGACGGGGCAGAAGAGCGTGTTCAGGAGACACGGACCACAGCAGAAAGGGCTGGGCCGCAGCACCAGTGAGGGCAAGAGATGCCCCAACAGAGAAGGCTGTGCTGCCACCACAGAAATGAGACTGCTCCCTGTGCACCTGGCATTAGTGTCAACACCCCTGCCCACTAAACGCGCCACGTGCATCCCTCAGTGGAGCTAAATGCCTGACCAACACAACACACCAGCACCTGCAGACGCGTCACAGACATCGCTGCTGGCGCAGGGAGGCACCCGCCCGGGCAGAAGCAATGAGAAGGCGGCCGAGAAGGCGGCCAAGACGGCGACCTGTCTTGCACTGGGGGCTTCCAGGGTCCTGTGCCCCTTCTTCCTTGTGTGCACCTGGTCCTGGCACAGGCAGTGCTGCCCTGGCCCCGTCCCCTCTGGATCAGAGCGAGGCCCTCCTGGGTGTGCGTCTGGCGCTGTGTGCTGCATGCGCCCAGTGCAGCTCCCGGGGGTGCATTCGCATAGGATTCTCACATGGCTGTGAGACCTGCTGCAGCCAGCGAGGCGACAGCATCCTAGACTGAAAACTCCCTTCCCCTGCTGAGCCTGGAACTCTGAACCAGCCAAGGCCTGGCCCCACAGCCCTCCCACCGCCAGGGACTGAGCAGTCAGGGCAGCCAGCTGCGGGCCAAGGAAAGCCCACACCTGAAGAGCAGCTCAAACACCACGCAAACACGACGACGGCTGTGGTCGGTGCTGGGTTTCGGGCTGCTTGCTGTGCGGCCAGAGGGAACCGGGACCCCCTGCCGCAGCCTCTCGGTCCTATGAAGTGGTGGCCATCACCACTCACGCAGGAAGGACCTTGTAGGGCTCCGATGTGAAAGTTGTTTTCCCCTTCGTGTGAAATGAGTATTTAAATGAGTGATCCTGACCTGACGATGTAACAAATTCCACATGCCGGGAAAGAAAGCATGACGTGACTGTGTCATCATGCTCAGGAGTGGCCGCTGACACCACGGCCACCCCTCCAGTGAGCGGCCAGTGCGAGGAGCGCTGAGCCTCGGGCTGCGGGGCTGGCGTGTATGGAGAGGGCCCCAAGCCACCGGGAGCGAAGAAATGCTTCACTCCAGGGAAACCCCAGAGCTCCATCAGGAAGGGCACGCGGTCACTGTGTGCTGGTGTGAGCCACGAGACGGACACGGAGAGACTGAATAGGTCTCTTGGCAGACTGAGGGCTGCGTGTGTGTGGCCCGGAGGAGTGCGGTGCGCCGCGTGGGGAGGGGCAGGAGCGCAGGGCTTCCCTCAGTGGGAACTGGCTCCCTGGCGGCTCGGCTCCCTGCGAGAGGAAGCCGGCTGCCTAAACAGGGACGCGGCCTGACCAGGGCTGGGGTCTGGGAATCCGGGAGGGACGGCAGGGGGGCAGCTGTGTTGGCTAACCTCACATCACTTTCGATCTGAAACACTAAAAACATCTATTTCTTTGATAAATGTGCATGCAGCCACCCCCAAAGCAGATCTAGAGAACAGTCTAACCATCTGCGCCGTCGCAGTTGACCAGAGTTAACCATTTCTGGGCACAAGCACTGCCACGTCCTGCCTCGGGCACTGCTCACTGGGACCCCATTCTGGGCAGGACAAAAGCAGACGTGTGGACCTGAACCAGCCTGACTCGCAGAGACGGTCAAGGTCGCGGGCAGTGCTGAGCACCGAGACCTCGTTAGAAACCTGCACCCGACATGAACAATTTGGTATGTTATAAAAATGATTCCTTCCTTATTTACAAGTTTCTATTCAAACTCACTGCTGATCAGATGACACCATTAGGCTGTGTGCTCAAGCAATCCGTCTGGCAAACACTGCTGCCGAATGCCACTGACAGTCTGATAGCTTATGAGAAGTTTAAGTCATCAAACAAAAGCCGGCTGATGTGACGATACAATTACAAAATTTAAAAGGCTTTTATGATCTCCATTTTAAATAAAGAGGCAAATGATCACAATGCAGCAGCATGTAACCTTGAGGTTCTCCCTGCGTGTGGAGAGCCGGGCCTGAGCTCTCCTGGTGACACCACGTGAGGCGCCCCGACCACCAGGCCACCCCGCACAGGCTGACATGAGTGCTCAGGAAGGACCCTGTTCCGTCTCCATGGCAGCAACACAAACTCCCGAAGGGCCAGTGCAGACAGAATCGGGGTCAGCGAAGCTAGACCCACCACAGGTGGAGGGCCCAGGCCGGCGGAAGGCAGGCCCACGTGGCCTGTGTGGCAGCACCCACCGCCCTGGGGTCTTGATGCTTCCCGATGCCTGAGGACCTCACATACATGGAGTCTGTTAATTTCTCAATATCTCATTTTTTCTACAAGCTACACATTCAACTGACTCGTACATGACATGGACTCTACCAGCAGATTGAGGCAGGAGAAGGTGCGTCACTTCCAAGTTGAGGCCACAGAAGACACCGAGGCTCCCACCGTGGTGGCCGGCATCATCACTCTGGGAGGCCCGCTGCGAGAGGGCCCACGTGACCGGACCCAGCCTCCCGCCCAGAACCACATGTGAGCTTGGATGTGGATCCCGTGGCCCCGAGTGCCAGCTCGACCACACCCTTGGGAGAGCCTGAGGCCCGACTGCCCGCTGAGTTGTTCCCGGGCCCCCGACCCGCACAGCTAGGGGCCAGCACACATCTGCGGGCGCAGGCTGCTAGGTTTTGGGGTGACTTGTTACACGGCAATAACGACTTATAACCTGGGTCTCTGCCTGAAGGTGGTGCAGAGCTGGTGGCCTACCCACACCCTGCAGCCTGCGCACCACTGGGCAGCGCCGCTCGGTACATTGAGATCAGCACCACGACGGGCCTGCCAGCCACGGCTGTGACTTCGCTACATGTCACTAATCATGCGCCTCTCCCATGTAATAATTTAATTTTATTTTATTATTTTATTTTTTTTCATCCTCACCCGAGGATATTTTTCCATTTTTTGTACAGATAGAGTGGGAGGGAGAGAGAGGAAGGGAGAGAGAGAGAGAGAAACATCGACGTGAAGGGACACATCGAGTGGCTGCCACCCGCACGACCAACCAGGGCCGGGGACAAACTGCAACCGAAGTACGTGCCCTTAGCGGGACCCGAACCCGGGTCTCTCCGGACTGCAGGTCGACGCTCTAACTGCTGAGCCAAACTGGCCAGGGCTCCCATGTATTAATTTTAAAATCTGGGATCCAATTAGACATTTATAGAAAGTACCCCTCCAAAAGATCTATGTTAGTTTTTCTTATCTCACTGCAATGCAAGAACACCGTCTCCTCCCGGTTAAGAAAGGTCAGTGGGATGAAAGCAGACATCGGGAGCTGGTCGCTCCTCCTGCGGGTGCGTCTCCTGCTCCAGGATGTGCACCTCCAGGGGGACTGAGGTGGGACGTGTCCTCCCTGCCTTCAGTATGTCCTGCCCTGGGGTTGCAGACACAGCTCTGGCCGCACACTGCACCCGCCCACTTTACTCAGGCAGCAGGGGAGGCCCCTGCCCGGGAGGCCAGCAGTGCGGCTGGTGGCAGGGTGGCGCTCAGCGCGAAGCTGCGCCGGGACCCACCTGGATGTGCTCGTGCAGCTGGGCCTCATGCTGCCGCGACAGCTGCTCGTGCTGCCTCTGGAACTCGGCGATGAGGAGCTGCCTCTGCAGCTGCTGCTTCTGCTTGAGCGCCAGGAGCTCCTGCTGCAGCTGCTGCTCCCGGACGGCGGGCTCTGTCCCGGGCAGTGAGAACGGGCGGTCCAGGCGCAAGTCCATGGGCACTGCTGAGGGCGCCACCTGCAAAGGCAGGGCCGAGGCCACGTCCACTGCAGAGAGAGCACAGCACAGAGCGTGGTCACTGCAGGCCACAGCACCCTCCTCCCAGGCTGCCGACTCCTCTCCCACCCAGGCCCCGGGAAGCAGCAAGGGTCCCGGCATGCAGGACAGTTTACATCTCGGACACCTTTCCCCGACTCCTGCCCAGCAGGCTCACAGCGCAGGACTTGGTGGCCTCCGCAGGGATCCACTCCTCAGGTGCAAAACTCCCAGGCTCAGCCAGGGCCAGACCAGGACACAGGCGCACGCACGCTCCCTGCCCCCCTCCCAGCGGCCAGCCCTCCCCGAGGCCACTGCAGGCCTATCGCCTTTCCCGACAGCACGTTTGACAGTCACAAAGAGGGAAGGGAAAGAAGACTCTGGAGAGGATCAAACAGCACTAAGGAGGGCGGCGTGCTCTCCCTCCTCCTCAGTCACTGCAGAGCTGTGCGCCCGAGCCACGGAACAGTGTGTGCCACAGAGTGGTCCAGAGAGGCGCTCAGGACAAGGGCCCGTTTCCATGGCAAAGCGAGCGCCCTCTCAGCAACATGTTTACCCGCTGTAGCCCAGGGAGCGCCTCCCAGCTGGCCTGCACAGAGCCCGGTCTTCCCGGCTCACGTCGGCCGAGGACAGCACCAGTGATCGGGATTAGAAATAGCAGCGGAATCGATCTTAATGCCGACAAATCAATACCAAGTTAAAGCGAGAAAAGGAACGCGAGAAGAAAGTAAGTTTCCAGTTCTGGACATCACCAGACAGCCCGCTGCGGGAGCTCCTGCCGGGACGGGCTCGCACTGCGGCCCCGGGCCCTCCGTGGGGGCGCTCAGAGAGCGGCGGCCGCCCCCTGGGCTCCGCTCATAGAGCCCCCAGAGGAGCTGAGGGGAGAGCCTAGCACAGAGGCCACGGCTCCCTGTCCCTTCCAGAAAGGTCCCCCCACAATCTGCTCCAGGCCCGTCTCTTCATCAGCTAACAAGCAGCAGACTGGGGGCCAGGGCAGGAGACGGGTGCTTTGCCCTGCAAGGATCGCAAGACTCAGCAGGGAGCCCCGGCTCACCAGCCCAGGGCCACCAAGGACCGGCTGCCTCCCCTCAGGGCCACGTCTGCCTGGACCCTCACTCAGCACAGGCCACGCTGTGCACATGACCTGGTCCCAGAGTCTGCCTGGAGGTGGCTGACACCCCCACCCATGCAGGGGACCTCACCGCCAGGCCACGGAGCCCTCTGGTCACAACAGTTCCTGAGGGATCCTGAGCTCCCAGCCCCACAGCCCACAGGTTCTGATAAAAGAACCCACACGTGTAACCACCCCCTTAGCACGAACATATCTCTGTCACTGCCCAGGTGGCAGGCCCCACGCTGGCCGTTCCGACAAGGCTACTGTGCGGAGGCGACGCAGGCACTGTGCCCGGGGCCTTGCCGTCCTGATGGACGTGTCGCGGCTGCAGCGTCCAGACGCTGCTGGGACGAAGTGCGGCCAGGACACGCTCCCTCGGCCCTGCCCACCCAGAGCCTGGAGCAGCTGCACACAGGGCACGAAGAAGAGACAGGGCTGCCCAAGGGCGGCCGGCAAGGTTCCTACTTTCAATTATTCTAAGAAACTACCCAGCCCTGGCTGTCCAGCTCAGCGATCAGAGGGTCGGCCTGCGGACCAGAGTCGCAGGTTGGATTCCAGGCAAGGGCAGGTACCTTGGGTGCGGCGCGGCCCCAGCCCTGGTCGAGGTCGTGTGGGAGGCAGCCAGTCGATGTCTCTCTCACACGGATGTTTCTCTCCCTCCCCCCCGCTCTATCTGAAGATAAATGAAAAATGTCCTCGGTGAGGAGTAAAACAAAAGAAAGAAACTACTCAATCTCCTTTCTTTTAAGCACTGACAAAAAGGGGTAAACACCAGATGACTGTTTCCCTTCTGTCCCCCAAATTGGTGAAGTGTAACCCCAACTTCTAAAACGTACGCATTTTTGTCTGATCGGGTATTGAGCTTGACCGATCAAGAGCTTCTCATTTGATCTTTACGTGAGAAAATTCTCCACAAGTGAAGAGTGTTTCCGTGAAAAGGCCAGGGAACAGCGGTATGCATCCTACCCACCCCACTACAAAAAGCTCAGAAAACGGGCTTTCATTAATTACCTTGCTTCTTGATCATTTTTATTATAAAAATACAGCGAACTGGTCAAGCTGGGTGAGCAGCAGCAGTGATGCTGAAGCCCGTCCTCCTGTGGGCTGCAGGCGTCCCCTTGGGGAGCGCTGTGACGGGCAGGGGGGCAGGGCGCCAGCTCAGACAGGGCCACGCGTCTGCGGTGTCATCCCGCTGACACCTATGGGCAGTGCCGCGTGCACACCAGGCCTCACGGCCGTGCCTAACCAGGCTTCGTGGGCTCCCTCTGCACCCAGATGCGACTCGAGAGCTGTCCTCCATGGACCTGCTGACCTGCCCGCTACCTCACAGAGGACAGGGGGGTCTCCCTTTGCTTTCAAAGGACAGCCTGACCCTGCCTCTCTGGGCGGCACACACGGCCGCGGCCCACGGAGGACGTCCGAGTCTATGTCAGAGTGAGAGTGGCCGACGGTCTCGCTCGCGCTCTGCTTGCTGAGCAAAGCACTGCGGCTGTGGCTTCAGTGAGCAACCAGAGAATCAGTGGGTCACCGCGGCGCCTGCATTTGGTGAGCGGTGTCCCCGTGGTAGCCCCCTCAGAAGACCCACCAAGGGGACCTGGGGCCTCAGGCGGCAGCAAGGCCACCGTGCAGAGGCCAGGCCCGGGCCCCTCACTGCAGCGCGTCCTTCCCCGTCTAGCTCTGCACAGGGGGCAGGGGACCGTCCGGAATGCCCAGCAGCTCATCTCTCAGAACTGAGCACACCCTGGCCGGTGTGGCTCAGCGGGCTGAGCACTGTCCCATACACTGAAAGGGCACATGTCCCGGCTATAGGTCTGATCCCTGGTGGAGCATGTGGAAGGTGGGCTCACATTAATGTCAGTTTCTCTCTCTCTCACCCCCCCTTTAAAAAAACAACATAAAAACTTTGAAGGGGTGGTTTTCCTGAACTCAAACCTGTGCTGGCACATGCCCACGTGCCCCTCTGCGCAGTGTGCAGGCCACCTGCAGAGCTCAGATCCCGCCTTGTGGACCCCCGGGGGGTCCGGCAGTGTGGGGAGGCTGGGCCTCAGGCAGAGGGCGGAGCAGCCGCTCAGGTGGCCTCTGCCGTGACGACACAGACAAGCAGGGCACACCCATCAATGTGAGCCAAGGTTCGTCCTGTTAAACTTTCCTGGGCCTCCCAGTAGGGGGTCCCAGGGAACCGTCTAAGGACACCCTCCCTGGCAGCCGTCAGTCCTTCCGCAGACACCGAAGAGTGACGGCGAGGTGAGCAGTGTGCCCAGGTGGCTGGCCTGCAAAGGAACCTCCCCGCGCCCAGAGGGGACAGGGTGGGGTGTGGAGGTGCCTCGCTGGAGCAGAGCGTCCTCAGCGGACGTCCTCACTGTTCTGACTGCGGCAGTTTCTCCACATTTGCTAACTGTTAGGAAGGAACGGAAGTCCTGCCTCGGCCTACCTTTCTGAGGTATCACAAAAAACTTCTCTCTCCTGCTACAGAAAGTTAAAGGCAGAGCAGAGAATGAAAAGGCGAACATTACCTCTCAGACACACCCAAACCAGCTCCTGTGCCACGCAGACACCAGGCTCCAGGGCTGCCTGCTCGCCCCAGCGCGCCCACACCGACACGCCAGGTGGGGGAGCGGTGCGCTGTCCCGGCCCTGCCCTGCACCCCGGTACCGGGAGAAGTCACAATCCCCGTTCACCCCAGTCTCCAGCGGATGCGTCAGATATGACTGGCAGTGATTCAGGACCAGAAACTATGTGAAACGCCATGAGTTCCCAGCAGAAGCTGCTGGTGCCTTTGACCCAGAGCCGAAGAAAACAATAGCCCTTCTCTGCTGAAGAATGCAGCTGCGCAGAAGCCCGCACGTCCAGGGCTGCTTGTGGTGGGGCAGAAGCTGCCTCTGTGGACTGCGCCCCGGAGACATGCGGACACAATCAGGCTGCTGACGTCAGCAGAAGCACAAAGAGCGTGTTCAGAGCCCGCGGGCAACGCAGCCTGCATCGCGCACCCAAGCTGTCCCTCACGGAGGAGATCTGGGTCTCTTTATAGTAGGGATCACAAAGACGGTCACTGTCCTGTCCCGTCCGTGGGCAGCCCTGTCCCTGCACCGCGCCAGGCCACCGCCGAGACGGGACACAGAGGGGCACTATTCCCCAGAGAGCACGGCGAAGTTCAGGGTCTACGCGAGGAAGAAGGACTCATTCAAATCCCGGGGGGGCACCGATGCCTCAACTACGTGACCACCATTTCCTCTCACTGACATTTCGCCTGTGGCGGGGGTGGGGGGACGCACGGGTGCAGGGGGAGGAAGAGGAGGACAGGGTGAATGAGACGTGCCCAACTGACCCGCAGCACGTCCACACCCTGAAGAGCACGTGCTGGGACCGCAGAGTGATGATGAAGGCCGCGCGCCCTGCACATGGCGCCACCCCACACTCAGGCAGGCAGCCGCCTCTTCACGGCCTGAGCCCAGCGCTGCCCACGGCGGCAGTGGGCACAGGCGGGACGCTGCAGTGACAGTGCGTCCCGGGCCAGGTGAGACCTGAGCCCCGCCTGCCCAGTCTCCAGGGCAGTGGACCCACCAAGGGCCCCCCCACTGTGGCATCTGGCAGGGCGGTCACTGGGTGAGGACAAGGCCCTGCGCTCCCGCTTCGTGTCCACGGTGCCTGCCTCCTGTCCCCAGCTGTGAGCCACACAGAGGCCCGTGAGAAACGTGTCCCCGGGGGAGTGGGGCTGTGGGGACACAGGACGATGTGGTCCGGACAGGTCAGCAGCAAACAAGAGTCGGGCAGGCTCACAGGCACAGAGCACAGGCAGCCTTGGGGGCCAGCCCTGCTTCTAACACCTGCCTGAAACCCAGGGGCTTGGCTCTGCCGGGGCCCAGGGCCTCCGGCTCGATGGCTCGGCCTCCTCATCCT